CACTGTGTCCGATTGCAACCACCGTGTGTCCGTTTCCTACTGTGTCCGATCGACACTGTGTCCGATTCATTCAACCTGCTGTGTCCGATTTATTCTGTGCGCAACTGGGACGCTCCCAGCGTGGCGCCCCGAGGCTCGCGCCACTCGGGAGCTGCCCTCTAGAAGGGCGGGAGCACATCGCTCGTTCAAAGCTCGGCTTCTCATACTTTTTTATAGACCAGGCTTGGACAACTTTGAGCTCCAGAACCACGACACTTCTTTTCTATCCACGGAAAGTAGGGGAGTGTCGTGGCTCCAGAGCTCGAAGTTGCCCAGGCCTGTTATATACTAATCTGCATTAGGGAATAATTCACTAATTATCATAAAAAAGTTTTATTTATATAAAAATAATATATACCATATATTACAGTTTTCAGTTTATCACAATAATATCTTTGGTGAAGATCATTGATCCTAGCGTAAGGTTTTGGGATAAAACTCATCTTTCAAATAAAAAAATTTGTTACTATAATAATCACTCGCGCGGAGCCACGCAAGTAAGATAATATATTTATCACTTCCTGAAAAATAAAAGTAGAATTAAATTAGTGAAAAAGCTACTTATAAATTATAACGCGGCAAACTATAATAATTTTATTTTGTAGAGAGTATATACCGAAATACATTACATTACCTTTTTAATGTTTTTTTTTTCCTTACGGACGTTTGCGAATCTGAACCACTCCATTACAAAGTGTTGAAAATCTTTTTCTGTATTCCGAGGGAATATTGCTCTAAAAGCTTCTAAAATAAGAAAAATTCAATACAGTTTATTGTTAGATGAAAGAAATAAATAATGTTAATTTAACGGCAATTAAAACTTATGATTATTATTGAAATAACACAAAAGTTTCCGGAATAGTTTACATATATACTAAATCGATCAAAAATATTAGTTTATGGATATATATATTTTTCTTTTATTTCGTAAGAATTTTTAACGTGTATGTGTGTCCTGCTTTTTAACGATGATTGCTACAAAAAATAAGGAGACAATTTTAATAAATTCTGAGACATAAAACATAGCATTTAATACTGCAAGTAATATATACATTTCTTAAAAAATTACTTACTTTTAATGCTCAGAATTGTGTGTGTGCGTATCTCCAATTTTATAATTATTTTTTTGGCCAGTTCATGAACACATGGAGGCTAAGTCATCAGAAAATGTAGCCCTCAAACTTCTTCTAATAAAATTCTTTTCATGTTTCCCTCCAATTAACATAACCTTGTTCACCTAAAAAATTTATACTTGTAATTCTATATAATGCAGTTTATTATTATAAATTGCAAGGAAAATAATTCAGAAGACTTTTAAAATATAATAACACATATTATAGGATATTATAGAACATATTAAAGGACATATATTATAGATATAAGTTTGTAAGATTAAGAGTCAGAGTAACCATTTTTGGTTTTGAACGCATTGAGTGCTCCTCCTCAAGATTCTATTTGATCGTTTTATACATAAAATATACAGTTGAATACATTATGGAGAT